CCGCCGGGCCACGCCGCCGCCCCCACCCTGCTCCCCAGCCCGGGCAGCCACGGCCCCTCTCGGCCCCACCAAGGCTGCCTGCCACCTGGACGTCCCTCATCCCGCATAGCCTCTCCCTCCCCGGGCCCCGCTCTGCCCCACTTTTGTTCCCCCACTGTTCACCAAGCCTTCTGCCAGATAGGACCGACTCCCCCTCCCTCCCTCCCCTCCCCAAAGCCTGCCTGGGGTTTATCGCACCTTGCAGGCTGTCCAGAGGCCTCTTGCCATGTTTGTGACACCTCTGTGCCTTACCCCCCCCCTCCCGCTTTCCTGGACCTAAAGAAAGCCCTTTGCTCCCCTTTGTGTTTTTTTGTTACCCCAGGATGTTTCTGGTCCTCCATCCTATCTTGGCTGCCTGGTCCCCCTCTCAACCCAGAAGTTCTCTGGATCTCTTCCCCATCTTTCTGGCTTCTACTCCATCCAACCCCCGCCCCCCCTTAGGTTTTGTGGGCCCTGTGCCTGGTTTACTTTACCTGAAGGAGAAACTTCACGTTATCCAGATATTTTGAGCAAAGAAAGCGAGAGAGAGAGGAGGCTGGGGGCATACTGTAAGGTGTTCTGAAGGATGAATAGGAGTTTGTTGGGTGTAGTCATAGAAGCCTAGAGGAGCAGGAGCATTGCTCTCAGCTGTTGATTTACTTGGGGACAGTGGGGAGTTGGCCAGGATTGGCACAGAGTGTGGTTTAATGGTTGCAGGGAGGCTTCACCCCCTGAGAGAGCTATCCCCACTAAAGGAAGCATTCATGTCTGCCTTGAGGAAGCCAGGTCTTCTGGCTCAGGGTTAGAGGCCTGGACTGGGAGCCTAGCGGAGGGGCAGCTGGGGAGTCGCTCCAGGCACAGGGTAAGGGTGGCATAGGGCATATGGCCCTTAGGCTGCACAGGTCAAGCTAGGCGGTAGATGGCTCAGGTGCCAGAGCCTATGGACTTTATCCCAGGAAGGCCCAGGGTGTGAACTTTACCCTGGGGATGGGAGGTGCAGAAAACAGCCAAGGCCTCTGAGGCAAGCAGGTCCTCTTGCCGTTCCCACAGGCTGGTTGTAGATGCAGGGCAAAGGTTGGAATGAGTCCAGGCGCCCCAGAGCAAGACCAGCACTGCCCTGGATAAGAGGCTTCTGTGATACCCCACACACTCAGTGATCTCTGTGGCCCTGGGTGGGAGCGCTGAGCTCCACACGGAGGTGAGGCCAGTTAATGTGCGACCCCTGTGAATGTCAGCTCAGGACTTGTGTAGGTGCCCTAGTCCCCCCTCACCCCCCCCCGCCCCTTTCTCCAGAGGCTGGTGGGCCACTGCTGGGCTCCAGGCCTGGCCTAGGGGGCAGTCTGCTCCCCTCCCCCACCTTGTTCCCAAGGCCCCACTGCAGCTGACTGCTTTCCTGGTGGTACTGACCCCCTCCCCCATACACGTTTCAAGCAGGCCAGCCCTCAGGGGTCCTACCTCAGTCGGCCTCCCTGTTCCCTCCACCCGCCTCCTAGGCGGGGGCTGGGTCCTGTGTCCCAGTGGGCAGGGACCCATCAGAGCCAGGTGACTGGGTGAGTCCCCCAGAGGCCCATGGCACAGGTGATTGGGTGAGTCAGGCTTGTTTTTAGCGGAAAAGCAGCTTTTCAGATGGCAGGGAGGGAAATCCATGAATGCGCTTTTGTGCTCTTAAATGACCATTTTCCAGGGAAAGTTCTATCGACTTCTGTTTCATACAAAAGGCACTTTTCAGTGAGAACTCTGGTCCCCGCGGACAGGAGTTGGCGGTGTGTCCTGGGGAGGGCTGGGGCCCCGCGCTCTCTCCTGTAGCCGCTCTCCTCTGCTTGTGTGGCCGTTAGAGATGGATACTCCCCACAGGAAGGCTCTTGGCTGTGTCCCAATAAAGCTTTATGTACAAACAGAGGGTGGGTGGATGGCTTCCGGCCTCTCTACACGCAAACTCCCTCACGGGGCAGTGGACGGCTTAGTTCATGAGGTGTTTGCTCCTCTTAGTAGGTCCACACTGGGGTGGGGTGGGGGGTGCCTGAGGGGTGGATTCCCTGGGGGTGGACCTGCAGAAGGGGTATTGGGCGGGGGTCCAAGCAAACGGCTCTAGCCACAGGACCCCTGTGGGCCCATCTACCCAGCAGCCCGCCCTGGAGGCAAACCCACAAAGCAGTGTGTGCACACGCACACAGAGTCAGCCCTGCCCAGCCAGGACTGCGTGGGGTTCAGGGTCTAGTCTGGGGGGTGGGGGCTGTGGGCTTTTACCACACTACCCTCCAGGTGACCAGGCTTTCAGCACTAAAGGAAGCCTTCAAGCTAGGTGGAGACTCTGTGCCAGGTCGGAGCCCCGTTGCCAACCCTGACCTGGCAGACCTCTAGGTGTGGGCCGTGCCAGGGCTGTCTTGCCAACTAGCTGTGCTTGGGGACCGGCCTTGTGTCGTCAGGCTGCCTCCCGCTTGTCTCCATGGTAGGTCCTCGGGGGACACGAGTGTCTCTGCGGGGCTTTTCCAGACCCACAGGCGGAAGGGCTCCTAGCAGCCGGAGCGGGGCTCCCGGCACCGCCTCTCCCCGGGACCTTGGTCCTGGCCGCTGGGCGGCATGGCCAGCGCCCTGTGCTGTGGCCTTGACCTCCCAGCGTGTTGGCCCAGGCCCCTGCCACCCTCTGGAGAGCCCTGCCTCCGTCTGAACACAGCCACGGGTCCCCGGCAGAACCCAGAGCTCCCCTCAGAAACGGACGGTTGCCTTGTCCCCAGCAGCCCCCTTAGGCTTCATTCATTCTTACGTCCATTTCATTCTTTCCTTTCATTATGAGACGGAAGTCTTCAGCCCTGACTGCCCTGGGCCTCCTGATCTCCTTCTGAGGTCCCTGAGTGCTGGGGTTACAGGCAGCCCCTGCAGATCTGGTTCCTCAAGGCCGCGGGCAGCTTCTCCCTGCCCCTGGTGGGAGATGGACCAGTGCTGGCCTTCCCAGGGCCTGGAGCTCCTTGGCACGGTCTGGAAGGGAGCAGAACAAGGACTGCTCTCTGCGTCCTGCTGGTCACCGGCTGCTCACACTCCTTTGCTCCTTTGCTTGACACTCAGTCCCTCCAGGGGACTGAGGGGCCACTGCACAGACATCCCGCCTTCCTGGGCCTGTGCATGGTGAGGGACTGACCCCAAACCTGCTAGGGGGCTGGACATTGTGTCAGACTTTCCTGCCTGTGTTCCCTAGCTGCAGATGACCACCAGCGCCTGGGGACAGCTAGTGGCCCCCCTCCCCCAGCCCTGCAAGGCTCCGTCACAGGCTTTCAGTCCCACAAGGTGTTGGGACTGAAACCGAGCCGATGAGATCGCTCTTTGCACGGCCAGGTCTGTGGGTTGCACAGCCTTCCTCGTCCCTGCTGCCCTCCTCCCTGGTTTCCTCCAGGGTGAGCGGCGTGGGTTGCAGGACGCTGAAGCCCGTGTCCTGTGGGCCTCTGACCGCGTCTCATCCTCCTCAGGTGGCCTGCGAGTATGGCATGGTCCACGTGGTCTCGGAGGGCAGCGGCCCCAAAGGCAAGGACTACTGCATTCTGTACAACCCGCAGTGGGCACACCTGCCGCAGGACCTGGGCAAGGCCGTGAGTACCATGCCCAGCCGCGGGCTGCGGGCGCACTCCGCCCAGCGCCTCGCTCCGCCCATCTGGGGGCTCCAATAGGAGCTGCCCACATGGCAAGGCTTCGGTGGGTGGGATGGGGCTTCTCTGTTTCCATGGCCGTCAACCACAGCTGTGAGAGCTGTGTTGCAGACAGCCCTTCGGGGCATGTGGCTGTAGCAGCTGTGGGTGCAAGGCTGTGTGAGGTTGGTCTACCCGTGCCCCCCCCTCCCCCAGCCACCCAGGGGCACAGCAGCTGCCCTCACAGCTCCCTCCCTCAGTCTCTCCTGCAGCTGCGGGACTGGACGGCGTCCCTGCTCTGCTCCCCCAGTGACCTCCCAGCCAGTGGCTTTAGCAACCAGATCCCCCTGGTGACCCGAGGGAACTGCACCTTCTACGAGAAAGTGCGGCTGGCGCAGGGCAGCGGCGCCCGCGGGCTGCTCGTCGTCAGCAAGGAGAAGCTGGTACGGCCCGGGCCCTGCACGGGCTGCATCCAGGACTGCGCAGCCTCGGCCTCACTTCTGCAGGAGGGGGGGGGATGCGGTTGGAGGGGACTTCTGGACCGGGAGGTGGGGTCACTGTGGCTGAGGTGTGCGGTGACCTCGTGGCCTCCATCCTCTCTGCCCAGGTCCCCCCCGGAGGCAACAAGACGCAGTACGAGGAGATCGGCATCCCTGTGGGCCTGCTCAGCTACCGGGACATGCTGGCCATCTTCAGGGTAGGCTCCCCCCACCCCTCCGCCCCAGCTGCCCAGTGGGTCTGGAGGGGCGGGTGGGCGCGGGCAGGGGCAGAGGCGGGGCCCCCGCTCAGTTCCGGTGTGTTCCCCGAGGCAGCGCTTTGGCCACGCGGTGCGGGTGGCGCTGTACGCGCCCAGCGAGCCGGTGCTGGACTACAACATGGTCATCATCTTCATCATGGCCGTGGCCACCGTCGCTGTCGGGGGCTACTGGGCCGGGAGCGGAGACGTCAAGAAGTAAGTGTCACCGCGTGGGAGGGGGCGGAAGGGCTCTGGGCATGGCTGCCCAGAGGAGAGGCGGGCACTGCTCAGAGCACCTTCTGGAACATTAGCCTCTGTGTCCCTCAGAGGAGCTGTCTGCTGAGGACTTGGGGTGGGTGCTGTGGAGGTCCCGTGGGAGCTGGCCTTCTGGGAGGGGTCCGGCCGGGCCCTGCTGTCCTCCCGCCCCCCTGCTGGCTTGTCCTGAGTCTTGGGGTGGGGTGACTCCCCTGGGGATGTGGGCTTCCTGGATGGGTGGGATCAGTGGTGTTAGCAGCAGGTGGCTCCCAGTCTCCCGTGTTGTCCCCAGAGCTGCCCCTGGTCTGCTCGTGGCGTTAGTCCCCACTCGTGTACAGCACCCCGGCGCTGCCTAGCAGCCCGGGATACAGGCCAGCCCTGCTCTGGCTCCCATTCTGGGGTCCAGCTGGGGGTCTGGGGGTCATGTGACCCCGAGGTATCTTCCAAGAAGGTACATGAAGCACAAGCGCGACGACGGGCCAGAGAAGCAGGAGGACGAGGCGGTGGACGTGACGCCCGTCATGATCTGCGTGTTCGTGGTCATGTGCTGCCTCATGCTCGTGCTGCTCTACTACTTCTACGACCACCTGGGTGCGCCCTGCCCCCGGGGGCGGGGGGGGGCTGCGCCCGCCCGCCTCCCCTCACCTCCCGCTCTGTCCCCCACAGTCTACGTGATCATCGCCATCTTCTGCCTGGCTTCCTCCACCGGCCTCTACAGTTGCCTGGCGCCCTGTGTAAGCAGGCTGCCCTTTGGCAAGTGCAGGTGAGTGCCAGCCGGGCTTGGAGGGCGCTGCTCGCTGCCCCCCGCGTCTCCTGCAGCCCCAGCCTGCCCCGGCAGTTCAGTGCATACAGCAGACGCTAATGCCCAGCAAGCCCCGGGGTTCCCAGGCCAGGGAGCAGGACGGGGGTAGAAGGTTCTAGATCTCCCTCCCACATGCCCAGCTGCTCTCTCTCTCTCCCCACCTGTCTAATGAAGCATGTAAGCAGAGCCCTGCCACGGCTAGGCGCGGGGAGCCAGGGTCCATGCCAGGCACCTAGCCTCAGGTACCCTTGGCTGCCAGGGCTCAGGACACCACTGGGGTAGCCAGTCCTGCCCCGGGCGTCCAGAAAAGCAGCCAGGTGCCCTGAAAGGCTCCTCAGACCAGCGCCGGCCTGGCGTGGAGGTGCATGGAGCTGGCGGGGCACCGGGCAGGGTTGACTTGCACTGTGAGTGAGCTGGCAGCCGGAGAGGAGCCTGCTAGGAGGCTTTGGGCTGAGCTGCTCACCCCAGCCCGGGAGGCACAGGCACCCAGAGGGAGGGGGACTCTTGGTGGCGGGGGGCTCCCCACAGACCCCTGGGGCAGGAGCTATGGAGTGGAGTGGGGAGGGGCCCCTGATCTGGCGGGGTGCGGGGCAGTGGGGTGCTTGATGCTGACAGGTTCCCCCACTCGCAGGGTCCCGGACAACAGCCTGCCCTACTTCCACAAGCGCCCCCAGGTCCGCATGCTGCTGCTGGCGCTCTTCTGCGTGGCCGTGAGCATGGTATGGGGCGTCTTCCGCAATGAAGACCAGTAAGTTCCCCGTCCTCCCTCCGCCCCCTGTCCTCAGGTGCTCCCGCCCTGCCGGCTCCTCTTACCACACGCCCAGCTGCGCACTGCCCCTTGAACCTGGGTCCAATTTCACCTGGGCCTGGATGGGGGCCCAGGAGCCCCGATTGGAATCTGGATGGGGATGGCGGGTACCAGCCAGCCTCAGGTACCCTGCCCGCCAGCCTGGCCTCCATGGGACTCCTGGGCAGGACAGAGCCAACCGTCTCTTCTCTCGCCTCCCCATGTGGCCCTGTGGTTCGGAGTGTGCCCTCCCTCAAGGCTCAGGGTCCCGCATGGCCAGCCCTGTGGTGGCAGGGTGGGGCTGCTTCCTGCACGTGTACTTCCCATGGGAGCTGTGCGTGGGCGCCTCACAACCACCCAGCCTCCCCCCACTCCCGGCAGGGCGCCTGGCACAGTGGCCCTGGGGACAGCCAGCCCGTCCACACTCAGCCCTGGCTGTTACTTCCTTGGCTGGTACGGCCCCGGCCCCACGGGCAGCCAGGCCCTCTTGGCTTTGGAGTTGCCTGGAGCCGCCACAGACATTCCAAGCAGAAGGAAAAGTGGAAACACTTTGCCTTTTGTACGCAAGGAAACTGTGATGTGTGAGCTGAGCTGGGCATCCTTCAGTCACGCACCGCAACCATTCCTGATCTCCAGTAAGGGGAGATGTTTCTGTCCCAGACATGGGTGGGAAGTGGCCAGCCCTGCCCGTGACGTGGGCCAAAGCAAGGGCTGGAGACAGAGGCCCTTCCTCAGCTCCTGGCTCCCTGGGGCCTGTCCCAGTCTCCTGGGAACCTGGAGATTCTGCATGGGGACGAGGTGCATTTGGGGGAGCAGTGCAGTGACACCCACGCAGCCCTCATCAGGGGCTGCCCGCGCGGTGTCTCCAGCCTCTGCAAGCGGCTGGGTCCTTGGGCTCCAGTCTTGCAACTGCTTGCAGCTCGTGGCGGACCCCTTGCCTTCCAGGTGGGCCTGGGTCCTGCAGGATGCGCTGGGCATCGCTTTCTGCCTCTACATGCTGAAGACCATCCGCCTCCCCACATTCAAGGTGAGAAGAGGCTGACGGGCACCCTGCCAGCTACGTGCCCAGTCAGGTGGCTGCAGGGGTCGCTGGACAGGTGTGCAGGGCCCCGCCCCGAGTCTCAGCAGCAGAGCTTAGTCCCAGCAGTGGGCTAGCCCGTCTTGGTTCTCCCTTGCTCCCCGTTCCCCATGGGGAACTTTGCCAGGAGGTACTGAGTAGACACGGGAGATAGCAACTTTGAGTTAAAGGTCCCTTGCACCCAGTAGGGCTGTGTCCAGGGTGGGCCCCAGACCCTGGGGTTCTGGGTTGGGGCAGCGTCGCCCCTGCCAATGCCACCCTCCGACCCCGTACCGTCCCTCGCAGGCCTGCACACTGCTGCTGCTGGTGCTCTTCATCTACGATGTCTTCTTTGTCTTCATCACACCCTTCCTCACCAAGGTGGGGTCCGTCACTCCCCCTCCCTACACCCCCCTCGCACGCCCACACCCCACTCTCACACAGCCCTATTTTGTGCAGAGTGGAAATAGCATCATGGTGGAGGTGGCCACCGGGCCCTCGGACTCAGCCACCCACGAGAAGGTATGTCACCTGACCTCGTGGGCCTCCGTGCCACAGCCCAGGTCCTGACCTGCAGCCCTGGGTGGGGGACTCCCGTGTGGGCCTGAGATGGGGCCTGACACGCCTTCTCTGTAGCTGCCCATGGTGCTGAAGGTGCCCCGGCTGAACGCCTCGCCGCTGGCCCTGTGCGACCGGCCCTTCTCCCTCCTGGGCTTCGGAGACATCTTGGTACCAGGTAGCAGGCAGCAGGGCTGTGGCAGCTGCCAAGCCTGTGCCAGGGGCAGGGAGTAGCCAGCTCCATGTCCGGGAGTGGTGGGTAGGCCACAGTTGGGGACTGGAATGTTCCTGGGGCCAGGCGGCCTGATGGGAGCTGCCGTCTCCCTGTCTCCTGGCCGTGTTGTGCGGGCAGGTGCTCGGAGGGCAAGGTGCTGGTCTGGAGATGGCCGCCCATGTGAGTGTGACCCGTTCCCTCTCCCTAGGCCTGCTGGTGGCCTACTGCCACAGGTTCGACATCCAGGTGCAGTCCTCCCGGGTCTACTTCGTGGCCTGCACCATCGGTAGGTGCCACATGCACATTCTAAGCCACCCCAAGCGCTGGCTGCAGAGCTGGGCTTGGGGTACAGGGCCCTCACGTCCACCCGGCTCCCCTGGTGATGGTTCTCCCCTCCCCTCCCCCCCCTCTTTTTTCTTCCTTCCTTTCTTCCTTTCTGTCCTAGAGCTTGAACTCGGGCCTGGGCTCTGTCTCTGAGCTTCCTTTGCTCAAGGCTAGCACTCTTCCACTTGAGCCACAGTGCCATTTCCAGCTTTTTCTGTGTATGTGGGACTGAGGAATTGAACCCAGAGCTTCATACATACTAGGCAAGCACTCTACCACTGACCACATTCCCAGCCCCATTTCTTTATGTTTTTCTGGTCCTGAGACTCTAACTCAAGGCCTAGACACTGTCCCTGAGCCTCTCTGTGATCAAGGCTAGCATGCTACCGAGCCACAGTGCCACTTCTGGCCTTTTCTAAGTAGTTTACTGGAGATAGACGTTTATTAGAGTCTCACAGAATTGGCTGACAGGCTGGCTTTGAACTGTGATCCTCAGATCTCAGCCTCCTGAGTAGCTAGGATGACAGGTGTGAGCCACTGGTGCCTGGCTTGCTTTTTTTGTCGGTTGTGGGGCTTGGACTCTGGGCCTGGGTGCTGTCCCTCTGTTCTACCACTTGAGCCACAGTGTCACTTCCGGTTTTCTGGTGGTTTATTGGAGATAAAAGTTTCACAGTCTTTCCTGCCCAGGCTGGCTTTGAACCACAATCCTCAGATCTCAGCCTCCTGAGTAGCTAGGATGACAGGCGTGAGCCACCAGTGCCCAGCTGGCGCTATGTGTTTTTAAGGCAGGCTGAGTTGAAGCACTTGTGATCAGGGCTGGGGTGCAGCCCCCTCGAACCAACTGCCCCTCACCCTCCCCCACTGGCTCCCTCCACTTGGTGCTCACCCCCAGCGGGCAGCCTGCCAGCCTAGGTCCCGGGCACTGCCCAGCAGGCTGACCTCCTCTCTGCCCACAGCCTACGGCATAGGCCTCCTGGTGACGTTCCTGGCGCTGGTGCTCATGCAGCGCGGCCAGCCCGCCCTCCTCTACCTGGTGCCCTGCACGCTGTTCACCAGCTGCGCCGTGGCGCTGTGGCGCCGGGAGCTGGCCATGTTCTGGACCGGCAGCGGCTTTGCGGTGAATACCAGTTTGCTCTGACTGCCTGCGATAGAGGCCCATGCGGCCTGACTGGGCGCAAGTTGAGTAAGACCCCCTGGACCCTGCTGCCGCAGGGCCGTTCCCTGGGTGTCGCATGATTCTGCTGGCGGCCGCAGGGGGACAGCCGGCGGTGACCCCTGCCCAGGCCGGGCACGCCTTGCCTGAGGCACAGGTTTTGCCCCCAGAACAGTGAGCCTCCTTTTCCCGGGGACCCCAGGATGCAGGGGTGGCGTGCTGGCCACTGGGGAGCGCCATATTCCTGCACACATTCAGACCCAGGCCCGTTGGGGTGACAGGGTGGAGCGGGGCTGGAGACCCCATGCTGGTCCTTGGCTTCGGCTGCTGCCTCTGCCTTGGGCAGTTGACTTGGACAGCTGAAGGGTTCCTCAAGGAGCTCGGTAGAGGCAGTGCAGTTGGCAGCTCCCCACAAAGGGGCTTTTCAGGGTGCTCTTGCTGCCAACTCACAAGGCCCGAGTTTCCCTTCTGCAGCTCCACGTGCTGTGCCCTGTGGCCCCATGCTCCCGGGGCCCGGTACTCCTGAACTGGATCCTGACCCTTGGGGGAGGGCCCCCCTCCCACGTGCCTGCGGGGTCCATGGCGAGGCTGCCCGTCCCTTGGCCCGCCTCACGGAGGGCCTGTCTTCCTGCAGAAGGACCTACCTCAGCCCCCGTGGGCGCCCGCCACCACGCTGCAGCCTCCAAAGGACTCGGAGCCTCTCCCCACAGGCCAAGAGCTGCCCAAGGCCCCCCTGCCCGCCACGCAGTCCCCGGACCCGGCCGGCACCACGCCCGCGCCCCAGGAGACGGGGGCCGAAGCTCCTGCCCCAGAACCATCGAGCCCAGCTGGCAGCGGCCTAGGACCTGGCAGCCAGGAGCAGGCCCTGCCCGGGACTTCAGCCTAGAGAGATCCTAGGGCCTGGGCCCCAAGCAGCCATCCAAGCCCCACTGACACGACTTGACTTGGGATGCATTCCCGACTTGGTGCTCCGTCCTTGGGGGGAGGGGGGCCCTCCTGCAGCTGCGCCTTGGCCCCAGCCTGCTCTGTGCTTGGCCACACAGCCGACCCCCCCCCCCCCCCCGCTCTGCAGTCTTCCTGGCCTCGGGAGGCTCCGCCGCCCACTCTGCCCAGGGTCTGTGCAGTGAGGCCCCCACACTTGGTGCTGCACCCCAACGCTTCCCAGGGGTTTCCCTCCGTGGGCCTGCGCTTGGCCGAAAGGAAATGCAGAAGCCGCTGGCTGCCGTGCGGTTCCCTGGGGGACGTGGCTGGAGACATCTGGGAGGTCCCCCCCCCACGCCTCAGCCGGCAGGTGACCGCTGGGGTGGGGACGCCCGGACACCCGCCCACACCTGCGCGGTAACCCCTTCGCCCCGAGACGCCCTGTGGCACGGGCGGGGCTCCTCCAGCCACGGCAGGCAGCATCTGGAGCGAGGTGGAATGTTCCAGAGCTGACCATCCGCCCTCTACCTCACGGATGGGGTCCTTGGTCCTGCAGCAGGTGCCCGCGGCCCGCCGGCCCTGGAGCGGCCGAGCCTGGCCCTGGCCTCCCGTCCAGCTCACTGCCTCCACCGGGGGAAAGCGGAGGCCGGGTGCAGCAGCCACCGCGGGCACACGGCCACCTGGCGATGCGCTCAGCTCCCCGCGGGGGACGTGGGGTGAGCTGCGCCCCCTCCAGAAGCCAGTAGCCCTGAAACTGACCCGCCTGGACCTTCCCGCCCAGCCACCCCCGCTCCCGCCACAGGACCCGCCTCAGCTCATTTGACCTGAGATTGGGGGGGCGAGCATGGTCTGGGGGTCCCTGGCGGCAGCTATGACTTTGTATGTGTCACCTTGCTCCCTTCACATCTACGATTAAACAGCTTTTGATACCTACAGCCGCCTCACCTTGGGGGCCGCGGGGGGGGAGGGGGGGCAGCCTCTGCTTGCTGCCAGATTCCGCCAAGCGCCGGGAGCACTCCCATTGGCTGGCTGATGCTCAACCAGCGGAGCCACGCCTCCAGCCACCCAAACCCTGCTTTATGTCCAAGGGTGGGATGTGTGGGCTCTCCCCTTCCCCCAGGGGGTCCACCCAGCCTGAAGCTGAGGCTTTGGGGTCCTCAGCACTGCGGAGCCAGGGGGAGAAGCCGCTTACTCGGCACACAGGAACCCACGTGCGCGCTTCCGGTGGGCCTTGTGTTGTCCACGCTGTAGGAGAGCAGCTGGTGGGTGTCAATGGCTGCTCAGCTGGCTTCCCCCAGCCGCGCCCTGTGTGTGTGCCTCTACTGGCCCCTGTCCTGCAGTGGCCGGCAAGCCACACAGCAGTCAGAAGCCCACGTGGAGACCAGGCTCCCACAAGCTGGCCTGTGCCCTGGGGGGGGCACTCCTGTCCCCGTGTCCCCTGGGAGGTGGCATCAGCCAGGACAGCGCTGAGACGCTGCAAGGGCCGCGCCGCCCACCGCAGGCTGCTCTTATCAGTGGTGCGCAGACATGGACTGGCCAGGCCAGTGAGGCAGGTGCTCAGCCCAGCCCACCTGGGGAGCCTGCAGCCCAGCTAGCGGTGCCCCAGCCTGCGCCGAGGATGGCAGGGCCAGAGGGGGAAGAGACAGCAGCAAAAATGCACACGCAAGGCATTTCTCTGTCTTGAAGTTTAAGGTACAAGGCGAATCATATGGTAACCATGGGTTGGTTTTGTTCAGTAAGCCAACCAGAGCTTACGACCACCCACCAACTTCCATTTTCCAGTCACCAGCCAGCCATTGATTCATCCAGCCACCCATGTGTCCATCTATTCACTCACCCACCCATCCATCCATCCACCCACCTACCCATCCAAACATTCATCCATCCATCCACCCATCCATCCAACCATTCATCCATCCATCCACCCATCCATCCAACCATTCATCCATCCACCCATCCATCCAACTATTCATCCATCTATTCACCCACGTAACCATTCATCCATCCATCTACCCACCTACCCATCCAAACATTCATCCATCCATCCAACCATCCATCTATCCACCCACCCATCCAACCATTCATCCATCCATCCACCCACCCACCTACCCATCCAACCATCCATCCACTTACCCACCCACCTATCCATCCATCCACCCATCTATCCATCCAACTATTCATCCACCCACCTACCATCCAACTCTTCACCCACCTACCCATCCAACCATTTATCCATCCATCCATCCACCCACCCACCTACCCACCCACCCATCCATCTGTCCATTCATCCATCCCTCCACTCACCCAACCATTCATCCATCCATCCAACCATCCATCATCACCATCATCACCAACCCATCCATCCACTCACCCACCCATCAATCCGCCCATCCATCCATCCATCCATCCATCCACACATCCATCCATCCATCCACTCATTCACCCATCCACCCATCTGTTCATCCATCCATCCACCCAGGCTTCATAGAGAGCCTGCTATATCCTAGATCCTCCCCTAGGCAAGGCTGTCCCAGAACTGATGTTGCAGGCAGCTCTGTCTGGTGAGCTTGGAGAGGCCCTAGCTCTGTTCTGGAAGGGAAGGGGGTGAAGGAAAGCTACGGGGAGGAGGCGCTGCCAGATGAACCTCAAGGACCCATGCGGAGGTCTGGGAAGTGGGAGCATCAGACTTGGTGTCTGGGGCCTGGTGGGTTAGGGGTGCTGTGGAAGGAGGGCGGCCCCACAGTGGCAGTCTCCCACACTTGTCCCCACTGAGCAGGCTGAAACACCTCCTGGGATCTGCACACGGCCCAGCAGCGGGGTGGATGAAGGGCAGCGCTGGGAGGAGCCAAACTCAGGCCACTCCCACCAGCCCACACAGAACCGAGATCTTTAGATCTCAGCCTTCTGCAGGCATGAGCCTGCTAGTTAATGAATCACTTCCACACACCCCTTACCCAGCTCTGTCCCCTGATTCTTAGAGTTTGAAGGTGCCTCTGCTTGGGTAGATTCCTCTGCTGTCGAAGCTTGACAGATCAGGGAGCCACACCTTCCCCCACCAGGGCCACAATGGTCCTGTGCCCCCCTGGGCCCTGCCCTGGGGGTGGATCCTGCCTGCTGGGTTCCAGGATGGCCGCAGCCCCGTCCTGCAGGCGCCGGGTGCCGCAGTCCTTCACGGTCCTTCACGGCGGAGAGCCGGAGAGCGGAGGTGGAGGGCGGGTCCTGATGCTGGGGGAAGGGGCTGGGGGACAGGGCCCCGCCCAGGGCCGGCCCTGCCCCTCGATCCACCCCTCCGGTCATCAGCCCGACTCTGGCTCCTACTCTGGCTCTGGAAGGTGACGCCCAGACCAGGGTTTGGGGGCCTGGAGGCAGTGCAGGCAGGTGAGTCAGGGTCGCCCCTCCAGGGCTGTGTGGACTAAGGGAGGCAGGTGGGCGGGGTCAGGGTGTGTACATGGGGTCCCGCTGGACAGCCGCCACAGGGCTGGGAATCTCTGGTGTATAGACCCTGGGAGCAGGGGTGTAGACCTGGCTAAGGGGAGCAGAGACCCCCTCCTCCTCCCAAAGGCCTCCTCACCACGTCCAGCCAGACACTACGCTGGGACTGAGAACCAAAACCAGAGGGCTCCCCCAATTTCCTGTCCTAGGCCCCCAAACACCAGGCAACCCCGTGGGCAGTGCCTGACAGGACTGCGGGCCAGCACAGAGACGGGGGGGGGCCGAGCGTGGAAGGCACACCCGCAGCCCCAGCCCTGGGGAGGTGGAGGCAGGGGGACCCCCCCCCCCCGCAAGTTTCAGGCCAGCCTGAGCTACTCAGTGAGAGCCTGTCTCAAAGAACAACAGCAAAATCAAAACGAAGGGTTTGGGGAGGCTGTGGTTAGAGGGCCTGACACTGGGGGGGAGTTGGATGGGGGGGCCTCTGCCTGGAGAAGGGGTCCCGTGGGCTCAGTTAATAGTGTTGGGTGAAGGGTGGGGGGTGAAGGGTGGGGTCAGGGTGCTGGCCCTGGGTCTGATTGGGGATTATCTACACTGCTGTACCTTTGTTCCAGGGTGTGTGTGTGTGTGCGTGTGTGTGTGTGTGCGCGCGCACGTGCACACGTTCATGCATGCACTCATTCACGCATGCATACCTTCCTGTCCTGGGGCTTGAACTCAGGGCCTGGCACTGTCTCTGAGATGTTTTGTTCAAAGCTAGTACTCTCTCACTTAAGCCATAGCTGCACTTCTGGCTTTTTGCTGGTTCATTAGTTAAGAATCACATAGACTTGCCTGCCCAGGCTGGCTTTGAACTGTGATCCTCTGATCTCAGCTCCTGAGTAGCCAGGATGACAGGTGTGAGCCACCAATCCCCAGCTCCCCCCGCCCATTTTACAGAGGGACAGTGGATCCCGTAAAGGACAGTGTGGGTTGGAGACCCAGTGTGCTCCCGCGTCTCCTTTCTGTGTCCCCGACGCCAGCTGTCCTTTGTGGGATCTCAAGGACAGGAGGGGAGGAGACCCAGGCTGGGCTGTCATGTGTACCGTGACAGACAGTTGTCACTTCTGTGGGAGCTGGACAGAGCTCCGGGGCTGCGGACCTGTTCCCCCCTCTTCCCCCCGCCATGCTGCCAGCTGCCGGCAGCCTGGGCTGGGCTGTGTGTTCGTGCGTGTGTGTGGCCATGTGTGATTGTGGGGTCATGTGAGGTGGTGTGCACAGCTGTGTGTGACTGCACTGGTGACCCTGTGTGTCTGTGTGTCTCTGTGTGTAGAACCAACACACACACACACACAAGGTTCAAGACTGTGATCCTAACTACTTCAGAGGCAGAGATCTGGAGGATCATAGTTTGAGGCCAGCTTAAACAAAAAGTTTGCAAGCCACCGCCTCCCCCAGAATCCCACCCCATGTTTGAAATCCAGACACCTGCCCCCCCCAAGTTGCTATGAGGAGCTACAGCAGTTGTAAAGTCTACAAGTTGTGAACAATTGGAAATTAGGGTGGGTTTGTTTTTGTTTTTTTGTTTTTTTTTTTTCATTTCTGAGTTTTCCTCGGTATGCACTGGTCAATCATTGATTTCCCCCCCCTTCCCCACACAGCCTCTGATTCCTGTTTTCCTCCTAGCAATTTCTAAGCCTGGGAAAAAAAATAAGACAGTGTTGCTGTAAGTGATTTCTCCACAAACATCTTCCCATGCAAACCTAACAAAAAGTCTACAGACAAAAGCAAAGGGGAAAAAAGAAAAGAAAGAGCATGCTTATTAAATTTCCTTTAGGCTTGCTGAGTGATTTATCTCATGAAGTTGAGGGGGGGTGGGAGACAGGAGGGAGAGAGAGAGAGAGAAAGAGAGAAACAGTTCCCTTACGAGAGATGTGGTGCCTGCCCCATGGACAAACTTTGGCTGTTGTGGGACCCAAGGAAGGGAAAATGAACAGGATGGAAGTTTCTAAAAAATGAACAAGAAAACACTGGGCATGGTGGTGAAAGTATATGGGAAGTATAAATAAGAGACAGACCAGGAAGTTGAAATCTTATCTCTGCTTCCTAAGTCCTGGTATTACAGGCATGCACTACGGTGCCCGGCAGTATCATATATCTTAGTGACTGAGGTACTCCCTTTGATTCTGTCTCCAGGCTGGCGCCTGCTCTGCCTCTCCCTCTTTCTTGGCTCCATTGCCCTCCCTGGAACCCTGGGCCTGAGGCTCACTCTTCTGGGCTGACACTGCCAAGTGTTGAGGTGGCGTTAAGGACATGTTGGCTGGTCACTGAGATTTCCCTGGCAAGAGCAGAGGCTGGAAGTGGACATTGTCTTTGTCTGGTTCACCATCTTGACTCTATACAAATCCTCTGGTATTGCTAGGGAACTCCTAAGTCCCACCCTATACTTCATGATGGACAGATGAAGCAGAGGTTGACCAGATGGCCCAGTTTTCAGATTTTAAAAACCAGGATGGTCCTAGGTC